GTTCCATCAAGTGACGCTCCGGGTGCCATCAGGTATAGGGGAAGCACGCGACTCATCAGTGGCGCCACCCTCCACGTATGGTAGGCGCCGATGATCCCCGACCCCTTCACGCCCCTCTCCTTTAGAATTTGGAGGGCCGTGAGATGGTCCTGGATTTTCTTCTTGTCTTTATCTGGGACCCCCCACATCCTCCACGATTCTAGGACCTCTTCGATGAGGTGTCCGGTGAACGCTGGCAAGGGGGCGGTTGCGTCGTTCTTGACGTAGAACCAATGCGAATGCCACCCCTTGTTGGAGGTTGAGAGACGCATCGATGGGTACTCGTTGACCCGGTTGTTGCGGAGCGAGATGCCGGCGCATCCCATTGGCACGCTCAGCTCTTGCTTTTTCTCCTGCTTCTTCAAGAGGGTGACGACGAAGAAATACCGCCACAGGTCGAAGTGGGGACTGATCCCCAAGAACCCCTCACACAGGGCGACGAACGTCGCAATGTACTAGACCCCATTGGGAGTAAGGTGCTGCAACTCCACCTTGTAGTAATTCAGCAGCCCCCGAAGGAACTTGTGGGTGGGGGTGGTGAATCCCCGCTCGTGAAAGCGAGCAAAGGACACGACGTAGCCTTCGGGCGACGACGGTGCATCCTCATTGTTGGGCAGCCGCCACTCATTGATGGTGGTCCATGCGCAAAGGAGGCTGCGACGAACGAGGCCCTCCAGGCGCTGGAGGGTGACATCGAATCTGCACCACGCCTCCATTAGATGATTGGGGTGGTTGGGTGCGAGCTTGATGACGGCTGCGATGCTGGTGCGGGTGGCTCAGGCGATTGACGGTCGAGGTTGTAGATGCAAAGGCGAGGAGGCAAAGTACGGAACCCTGGGGGCGAACCCCTTGGTTTTATAGGGCAACGGATGCGAGAAGGGAAACCATCCACCTAGATCTCCGCGCTTGCCACGATTCACCACCACATCACCACGTGGGATACATGCCCCCCAATCCTTATCCTTTCCCACTGAAGTCGCGTCGGACGTTTCGTCTTCCCGGGTAGACCAGGACTCTTTTCCCGTAGAAGGGGTACGGGTCAAAAAGCGTTTCTTCGGCCCGCCGGAGCCCAGGAGTTCGAGGGCTGGCCCAATGACTTCGACGGCTATCCCAGCGAAGGATGGGCTCGCGAGCGGCCAAAACTCAGGCGCACGAGCCTCAAGGGAGTCTCAGTCCACAATCGAGCCTTAACCGGGCTGACCCTGCACCAATCCCCGTAAACGGGATACCAGTGTTCCCTTTATATTATCCAGTTGTCAAAACATCAAATCTCACAGCCATACCCACGAAGGGTCCGAATTACCCCCGGGCGATTCTATCTGAACCACCCGGGGGCTTGGGGGCTACACCCGTCGGGTGCGCTCGCGCGCACCCTCTGGCAAGTCAAAATCACCTCCGGGCGATTCCATCCGAATCACCCGAGGGCTCGGGGGGCTACTGTCGGGGACCTAATACTGGGGTACCAAATGAGGTGGAGCTAATAACAGTCAAACGTTGATGCTTCCGAATAGACAAGAACGCAACTGCATTTCTTGCCCGTACGACTGAAGGTTGGCCACGCCTCACTCGGCCCCTGAGGGTTGGCTATGCCTCGCCTGACCCCTGAGGGCTGGTTCTGCCTCGCCCAATGTCTGGGGGCAGACTCCGCCATGCCCAACGGTTGAGGGCTAGCTTCACCTCGCCCGACGTCTGGGGGCGGGCTCTGCCTCGCTCGATGTCTGGGGGCTGGCTCCGCCTCGCCCGACGTCCGAGGGCTAGCACCACCTCGCCCGACGTCTGGGGTAGACTCCGCCTCGCTCGACGACCGGGGACTGGCTTCGCCTCGCCCGACGTCTGCGCCCTACTCCTTCATAATGACGAGCACAGGGTAAGACAGGACACTCAAGTCAACCATAGTCCCGAGGACCATACCCTGCCCGCATGTAGGAAAGTACCATCAGGATATGACGGGACGGGCGCTTTAAGCCCTTCCAGGCATGACAGAGCCCGAACAGTGTTGTAGGCGCCGACTTTTGTCTTACAATGTTGTGGGCGCCGCCATCAGCCCTCGGACACGGATCCTAACATAAGCATACGACAACCGCTACAGTCTAAAAGGAAACTCGTGTCATCTACAGTAAGGAACGTGGAGGCCTCTACGCCATCTGCTCCCCGTAAGGTCGCGGCTCTGCGCCCTGGCGCGCCTTGCCATCCACCGGAGTAGGTACATATCATGCTAGAAAATTGATAAAGCCTATAAATTCTAACTAGAAATGCCTGTTGAGCCTTCACGTTAATGCTCACGAGGTCCATTAAAAAGACAAATTATAGAACTTCTGAAAAAAATACAATTATATGGCCATCTCTTCAGTACACTCTAATATCATTGATAATAATAGCCAAAGGATATATTACCCATCTCTGCTATTGTGTAAAACAACATAAAGTTTAGCCCATGAATCTAAATTTAAATTAGCCACCTATCTAAAGTCAAACTAAATTGACATATAATTATCTACCTACTATTATGATAGATAATCTATGCAACTGCTTAAATCAACATCTAAATTATCACCGCAGTCAGTATTTAGAACAACCATAGTTTATGTTAATGTTTAAATTAAATATGTGTTCAAAATACATAGAGGTGCTATGAAAAGGTAAATCAAACTGTGATATGCACGGAAATATAGACCAATAATTGATACGGTTATCACAACTGGATAGAGACTACATAGTATCCATCGTGTCTATTGTGGTAGAATATGAGCAGAGTGAAAAACGTGCAATTAAATGCTTACACCTCATAAGATTCGAACCCGTGCGACAGCACGGGTTGACGAACTAGTTTTATTTATTCAAACAACGGAAGGAGAAATGACCAACACCAAACTTGTAGACTCTAATGAGATATGCAACTTTACAGTTGATGACTTTTTTATTTGAAATTATTTATTGACTCAAAATTCTGTTTGAAGCTTCATATTTTGAAATTTTAAATTTTAAATTTTTCACATGAACTCGGACGAGATCTACATCTCTGTGGTTGACGACTCTTTCATTTGAAATCGTTTGCGGTCCAAAAATTTTGTTTGAAGTTTTTATATTTTGAAATTCCAAATTTTCTAATTGTTCGAACGAACTTAGATGGAGAAATAACCCAAATCTAAGTTGTAGATCTCGATACGATAGATTATTTTTAGAAAAATTTGGTACCAAAGTTTAATTTATGATAGTTTTAAAAGTTCTTTTATGATTAAAATACAATAAAGTGTAAATAAATACTTTAACACATATAAATATTTATCAATAAGTAAATTTAATGTATAAAAGTTTTCACAAATACCTAAAGAATAAAGTTCTTGTTTTTGGCCTCTCAACGTTCGCCTTTGTCTCAACCGTCAAAACCATTAAATTTTGACCCCGAGGCGGCTTTGAGTGGTTTTGAGATGGCTCTAATGTCAAAATTAAACAGTTTTGATAGCTGAGATGCACAAATTAGATGGTTTTGTAGTTGAGGGTTCAAATGAGATAAAAGAAAGAGTAGAGGGGCCGAAAATGTACTTAATCCATTCTTTTAACTACATAATTCTAAATCTTATATTATATATTTGATAGTCTAAATGATCTGAAATAAAAAATTATTAACTGCAAAGTTATACATCTCGTTGAGTACTACAACTTCAATGTTTATTTTGTCTACATTCAATATTGTTAACCATCTCAAATCCAATATGAGAACTTATATTATATATTTTGACTTGTAAATAATCTCAAATTAAAAAGTTGTTAACCACAACAAAAAATGAGATCCGTTTGAAGTAAAAAAATTTGATATAAAATTTATTTTGATCTGACCTCATATGAAACTTATGAATTTTTTTTGTCCGAAATAGCCTATCGCTACCGGTTCAAGACACGAACCGGCACTAATAGGTGGCTACCACACTGGCGGACATTGATAGCGTCTTCTATGCTAGTGTTGTATTTTGTAACCGATAACACAAGCGTATATATCATAGAAACATTTATGGAGAAAATGAGAGGTTGACCTCGAATGACCCTGGCATGGTTTGTGGTAGACGCTGGGCTCCACCCATACTCCCACGCGTGCGCACTGAGGCCACCCTTTGTCACGAGCTTCAAAATATACAACCACATGAATGCCTTGCAGCTTGGCCCTGACTCCATTCAAATGCTGGATCTACTACTGAGTACTGACCGACGTGTCTTGGGAGATTCGTGCTATACCTACCGCGACAAAACATAAAAAGGAGTACTCAGTGTGACGTAATAGACCAGAAGAGCATAATAATTACATCATCTCTATGAGAGCTCCAATTCCATGTGCGTCCAAATTCAAATGAGGCGGATGCTAATTACAGAAACTAGAGGACGAGGAAAATAATGACAGAAATTAGATATTCCAATAATAAGGAAGTAAATGTGGGAGAAAGAAAAATAAAATACGAGTGAAAAAAGCGGTAAAGAATGTGGCTTCTGTGTTGCACTGGGCAAGGGTCTGGCCACCCGGACTAGTGTTGCAACAGCCCAGGATTCAGTTGCTAGTCGCCGGCCCAGATGAGCAATCGGCGAGCACACCTGCTCACTATGTCTGCTGTGGAGCACCGGCCTGCTAGTCACTAAAGCTGGTAGTTGTAATGTGAGTTCGATGCATTTAGGAGTAGGACTGTCCCATTTCTCTCTGGCTCTACTACTATCTTATGTGGTACTGGTACATCACATTGAAAGGCCGGAGGGGCCAAAGTCCACAGGGGGTCAGTCAAACAAGCCCTAAAGAGAGGTCATCTATTCATTGAAGCAAACATTTTAAACTCTAGGTGACTATATAGTACAGATTATGTAGTGACTATATATCGAGTACCGTTATTGGCAGCATATATAGTGCAAAAAAAAAAAAAAACCTGTTCATGACACACAGCATAGTTTCCAAATATATTCGGGTAATGGAGTATATGTAATCAACCGAAAAAAATATAATTAACGGAAGGGTGGATGGGGTGGTCATCCGCCTCTTGCCTCAGCTTCTCTTTCAGTTTCATTTCCATCTCCTCGTCGATCTTTTCCTTTCCACGATGAAGATAGACAGACACTCTCCGAAGGTACGGGAGGTGGTCCAGGGACAGGTCATCGGTAGTAAATTCACCTTGGAAAAAATCCTGCAGGCGGATCCAGAATTCAAAATCTTCAAGCCCGGGCATAGCTCCTCGTGGGAACATAGACGGCACAGTTTGAAAACCATAGAATCTGCACACTCTTGCGCATGGGAAGGCATCAGGGCCAACCACGAACCTTCCCAGCACTTGTATGTTGTTACCGGACACACGGACTACCAGAATACGAAGAGCCTGCAGCATCCCGAGGACGTGGATGTCCTCCCTTCGCACCTGAGCCACCATAATATCCAGGGAGGATAGAAGGAGAAGCGATCCAGGATAAATCCATGTGGGCAACAAACTAGTTTGTTCAATACGAAGGTAGGACAGGTTGCGTAGGGACTCCAGCGAGCCTTCAAGATTCATCACCCCGCCGTCTGAGCTTATTGCTAGATGTCGGATGTTTTGCAGTTTACCTAGGGACTCCACTAAAGCTTTGCATATGCCCTCATCATCACATCCTGTTTCCTTGCCCAATTTCAGCTGGACAGTAAGGATCCTCAGTTGCGTCAGATGGCCTAGCTCTTCTACAATGTGCGCAGAATCAACAATTGCACACCATATCACTTCTAACGATGTTAGATTCCTCAATCCATCTGGCAGGCATATATTCCAATCAAGATCCAGACACTTCAATCGTTTTAGCCCAGCAATACTCGATGGCAATTCTATACAATTAGTTCCAGACAAGCTCAATGTCTGCAGAACCTGTAGCTTCCCGATCTCCAATGGGAGCTCACCATCATATCCAGTACCTCTTATCCCTAGATACCTCAGGTGAAATAAGCTCCCAACAAAACTCAAATTTTGATGGTCCCCAAGATTGCAGCCATTGAGATCCAATACACGAAGAAGACGATGGCATGAAAGGGATGGCACCGGATTAATTATAGCACCATTGAAGATAGTAAGTGACCTTAGTTTTGACATGTCCAACGTAGGCCAAGTAGTATTATGGAGGGACAACCTATGAACCTTGCCTCCCCAAGATGATGTGTTTTGCTTGGTGTCACCTAATATAGTTGCAACAAAATTTTCTTCTCTTGACAGGGAACAAATGAGATCAAGCACCATATCATGGACATGGCAAGCCAAAGGCATACCATCCATATCCATCTGTGCTGGCTGGATCAGGCTTCGATTTATAAGCTTATAGAAGTAACTCTGTCCAAGCTCAAATAAACTTTGGCCCCCTTCTCCAGGTGGAACAAAATCTTCAGCTATCCACCTCCATATCAGCCGCCCACTGTTAATCTCATAGTCTTCTGGAAATACACTTAAGTATAATAAGCAGGTCTTCAGATGAGCTGGTAGATCATAATAGCTAAGAGATAATATCTTTCTCATGTTTTCCATATCAGAATTGCCTCCAAGTCCGGAACCAATAGACTCACAAAACTCATACCACTCTTTTATATTTCCCAACTTATTTGCCAAAAAACTTGATGTGGTAATGATAGCTAATGGCACGCCTCTACATTTCTTAATTATGCCTTCAGATATTTCCACAAATTTTTTAGGACATTTCTGTTCAGAGCCAAATATTCTCCCATAGAATAATTCTTTAGAACTCTCATAGGGAAGGGGTTCCATGTTATAAGAACAACCAACTTTCATGGCAACATCATGCTTGCGGGTAGTTATGACTATTTTGCTTCCCAAGCTATTGTCATACAGAGCATATCTTATTATGTTCCACGATGGTACATCCCATATGTCATCAATAACAATGAAGTACCTATAAGCATGGAAATGAAGGAGTCATATAGTTTCATGAAAAATACATAATAACTCATTCAAGATTACACGAATTGTTGGTTAGAGGGAAAAACATTCGAAAATACTATCCAGGGATTAGATAAGAACAAAAAGAAATGAAAACTAAAATATTTAATTTTGTAATAGATTCAATCTGCAGGTTATAGATTTCTCAAATGATTGTTCAACTTTTAAAATAAATTAAAAGGCTCTAAGTAAGAATATGACTACCTCTTATCCTTGAGGAACTCTCGAAGTTCATCGATTAGCTGCCTTTCATTCAATATTGTCAAATTTAATTCGGTGGTGTAACGTTGCTTGTCCAGATCAATAAGAATGTCCTTTAAGACTGTTTTCAAGTCTGGATTCCGGCCAACAGGAACAAAAGCCTTGAAACGGACATCCTGACTAAGATTCTCATACACAGCTTTAGCAAGAGTAGTCTTGCCTAACCCACCAAACCCAACAATAGAGACTATCTTCGTCTCCATGTCTTCCGCTATTGATGTCAGCAGTTTTGCAACCTTATCCCTTGGCTTTCCTATGCCCACCAGCTGTGACACTTTTGTGTACAGAGCCGAGATCCGTGGATCAATACTTGTTGTAGCAGCAGGCTTGGCCACAAGATCATCGACCCTATACCTTTTACGCCGCTCTGTTATATCCTCAAGTTGCTTCTTGATATCTTCAATGGCGCAAGAAATTTCATGTCGAGCCTTGCCCTTGCTGAACAGGTCTCCCATGTACTTCATGGCGTGCTTGAACTTGCTCGGATCAGCCTGTTCTTGGCCGTCGACACGCACGAGGAAGGTGTCGAGTATATCTTCCATGTCGTAGGATGCCTCCCTGACCTCGCGCGCCCAGACCTTGTCCTGCTCGTCGAGCTGGTCCCATGGCACTGCCGCCACCTTGCGGAGGGCGGCGTGCATGCTCTCAAGCTCCCAGGAAAGGGACTGCACTTGTTCCCTAACGCCCTTCTGCAGCTTGTACTCGTCCTTGAGCAGCTCCAGCAGCTTGGAGGGGAGCAAGCTCAACGCACCCGTGACCAAGTCCATACTCAGGGGCTCACAAGATGATTAACCAATCACTATATTATGCTGGCAATTTGATAGGTTGCAAAGTTGTAGTGTGTTATGGGGATGCATGTCACCAAGTGCTTGTAGGGTTCTCTTGTGTGTTCCAGTTGCTATCCCCCTCCGCTTGTTTCTTTTCTTCAGTGCAACAACTGATCAAACTGAAACAAGTAAACGAAATTGAATGTTCGACCTGATCCGAAAAAAAGACTTAGGACAAATGTTTATAGTTCAACAACAAAGACTTGAACCTAATTAATAAAAAAAAATTCGATCAATAACCTAATTAATAAAATTTGTTCAGCTAAGTAAGATGTTCTTGTTTCAGCTCAAAGTAGAAACATACTTAGGAGTTAGGAGTGTTCTCCAAAAGAAAAAGCTTCAACTCACCAAGGTGGCCGTGGGAGGAGCTGGAGATGAGTTGCGTCGATGGTCGGCTAAGACATGGAGCACGACCAGCTTGTTTTGCTGCATTATGGCCAGGGATAAGAGCCGCCGAGATAATAAAGACTTGAACCTAAAATTTGTTCGAAGCTAAGTAAGACGTTTCTGTTTCAACTGAAAATGGTAAGTATTTTTTCCAAATGATGAGAAATGCATCTACTCACGACGGTTTAGAGCCCACCAAGCAGGCTGCGGCCAGCGATCCAGACAGAGGACTTGCGTCGATGTGTGCCTGAGACCAAGAGCGCACGCGCCGGCTGAAAACACAAAGGGCATGCACTCCCTGTTTCCTATGCAAGCATCCTCTCTTATAGGCATCCACTTCCCGTCCATGTAATTGATGGTGAAAATTTTGCATTTTAATCCTTTTTGAAAACTTTTTTTACAAATAGACCTCTGGCAAAACTTTTTTCCGAAAATGGGCCGAAAGCTCGGCATCTTAGGACCTCACGCCGAGGTACGAGACTCGGCGTTCCGTGAACTCACGCCGTGCCTTTTGCTACGTCAGCTAGGCCTCCGGTCGCAGCGTCCACCGGGGCAATGGGCCCGTTAGGGTCGACGTTGGGTCAATTAACGCCGAGGCCCATAGCTCGGCGCGGCCCGACTCAATGCCGAGATCTGGCCACTATAGCCGCGCCGCGGCCCCTTCTTCCTCCCCTTCTCCATTCTGTTCTTGCTCAGTTTCTTTTCTTTCTCTTCCCCTCTCACCTCACGAACCCCAAACCCCAAATACAGCTGTAGGGAGGCCAGATCGAGGTTGTGGACACTTCCCCAAGGTAATCCTCCATCCCCTCTTCCATTCTATCTGGTTAGATTCGGTTGCATTTGTGGTTTTGTGTTTGGATAGTAGGCTTGGTATGCTTTTTGATGTTATTTATGAAATGTATGTGTGAAATGATTGTAGGTATGAAATGTATGTATGTTTATGTGGTATGGTAGCTTTGGTTGGTTTGCTGAGTTATGGTTAGGGTTAGTTGTTTAATGTTGTAGTAAGGAGGAAATGTTTTTTTATATGTTTTTTGCTATAATTTAACAAGGTGTCCTTATTAGATTTGTGTTTTGCGTAGATGCGTAGGTACAAGTGGGAAAAGAGGGGTCATCCCAAATCCGTTTACTATGACGTGTCATACAAAGATGCACTAGTCCCTCCAGAATTACCAGTTCCTATGTGTGACTGTGGCAAACCGGCTGGTGTTGATCAATCTAGGCATGAGGATACTGCTGCACAGGCCTACTACTGCTGCAGCGATTACCGTGTAAGCGAGCTTGTTGTTATGTTACTAATTTGCTAGTATTGTGTATTGTAGTATACGGCGCTATTCACAGTGTTATTGTGAACCTTAGGATTGTGAGGCGTGCTATTTCTTCCGGTGGATCAATGGCCCCGACAAAGTTGACATGAGGTTCCTTCTTTTTTCTAAGTTGTGGGGGGCGGTTCCACACGAGCAATTCAAGCGTTGGGTTCCACCACCTCCGGACCCTCCACCGTTGACGGCTGAGGAGAAGGTCGCCACCACGAAACGGCTTGAGAACCCCCCACTTTGCAAATGCGGAGGTGCAGCTTAGATTGATTCTAGCAAGGGTGTTCCCGAGTTTAGATGTGACAACAAGAACAGAGTAAGTAATTGTACGTTACCTCTGAACCATTGATTTGCAATCTCCTGGATAACTAATGAATATGAACTTATTTGTGTAGTATGGGTCTCGAAAGTGCTTGTTCAGTGAGTATCTTTACGGAGCAAAGCCGCGTTGGCCCGAGAGAAAGAAGGATGCAGTGGACGCACCTATGGGTCGTGTTTGTCGACATTGCCCATGTGGGGTTGTACAACTAAACAAAGCAATGCAACTGAATCTACACGGACATAATGGAAGATGGGAGGGAGGATTACCTCGGGCGCGCGTGAGTAGACGAGATTCGGCCTCCTAGGCTGTCAGTTGGGAGTTAGGGTTCATGGGGCGGAGGGGGGAGAGAGAGAATAGATGGGGCAGGCGGTTTAGAATGGAGAAGGGGGGAAAAAGGGGGCCGCGGCGCGGGCTTAATTAAGTGCCCAAACATCGGCGTCGAGTCGGGCCATGCAGAGGTATGAGCCTCGGCGTTAAGTAACGAAGCGCCGACGTATGCGGGGCCCGGATCCTTAGACCGGAGTCCAAGCTGACGTGGCCAAATCTCGGCGTCAGTTGACACCACGCCGAGAAGCCGACCTCGGCGTCAGGTTCTAAGACGCCGACCTTTCGGCCCATTTCCAGAATACGTTTTGTCAGGGGTCTATTTATGAAAAATGTTTTTAAAAAGGACCAAAATGCAAAATTTTCACTAATTGATGCAGAGGCAGCGACTGCGCATGTACTACACCGACGACTTGACTCAGCTGCCGCAAGGGACGTCAAGATGCGTCCACACATCATTGCCCCTTTTTTAAAACCTTGTGCTGCTTTCCATGACAACCAGCACCACGCAAGTCTTCACCTAACCCAAGAGGGCGATCTTATTGATTTATTATTGTATATCTTCAATGTCATAGGAAGCATCCCTAACCTCGCGTGCCCAGATCTTGACCTGGTCGTCGAGCTGGTCCCATGGCACTGCCGCCACCTTGCGGAGGGCGGCGTGCATGCACTCGAGCTCCCGGGAGAGGGACTGCACTTTCACCCTGACGTCCTTCTGGAGCTTGTACTCCTCCTTGAGCAGCTCCAGCAGCTTGGAGGGAAGCATGCCCAACGCACCGGTCACCAGGTCCATACTCAAAGCGTTCTCAAGATTAACCAATCACTCTACTACTAATCTGCTTGGAGGGGATGCAGGTGATCCCGCTACTCACGGCGTTTCTTTTCTTCAGTGCGGCGGAGATCAAACTGAAACAAGAAGAACAACTTTCAAGTTCGAGCGATCTGTAAACAAGGATTTAAAGCAAAATGTTTATAGTTCAACAACAGTGACTTGAACCTTTTTTTTTTTTGAAAAGCTAAATAAATTGTTTGTGTTTCAACTGAAAATGCTTCAACTCACCAAGGTTGCCGTGGGAGGAGCTGAAGACGAGTTGCGTCGACGGTCTGCTAACACACAGCGTGTTAGGCAGCAACGCAGAAACTAGCGTGATAAGGCGACTAGTAGTGGGCTGATGAACAAGCAAATAAGTTCGTAGAAGATGCGTCCACACATCATTGCTCCTTTTTTAAAACCTTGTGCTGCTTTCCGTGACAACCGGCACGACGCAAGTCTTCACCTAACCCAAGACCAAGAGGGTGATCTTATTGATTTATTATGCTAGCACCACTTAACGTTCCTCTATGGCTGTATATATAACAACAACTTGGCGTATGATTCCTGCTTTTAAAAACCTTGTGATGCTTCCGCGAAAACCGGCACCTTGCAAGTCTCCATCAAATGTCCAAACCCAAATAGGACCTAAAGATTTGTTACTAGCACACTGAGGCTGCAGCGTGCCGCTCCGTTGACGTCTACTCCCATCGGCGTATATATGAATACTTGAATATGGAATTTGCATAATATAAAAACTCAACTCCAATACCACCTCTCTGCAGTAGTGTGTACTGAATGTACGTACGTGCAGCTAAGGCTGCTTGTACCTTTATATATATATATATATATATATATATATATATTCTCCCTCCGGTTCTCTAAAGTAAGTCGTTTTGAGGTTGTCTTAAGTCAAACATTTTAAACTTTGACTACAAATAACTTCTTTTGGGTTGAGTTTGAAAATATGAAAGTGATGTAAGTAGATTCATCTCGAAATGTAGTTTCATAAAAGTATATATTGACTATATTTTATAAATATTTTATAGCATAAAGTTGCAGTTAAAGTCGTTTCTTAAAGACCGTGTCGATGTCCAAAACGACTTACTTTAGAGAACCGGAGGGAGTATAGGAAAAGTATATTCAGTAGCCAGCTACAAAATAAGTTATTCTGTAGCCACCTCCATTTACGATAATTTTATATACTAATTTACGATAATGTCAATACATATTTACGACAGTTGGGTTACTATAACACATGGTGATATTTACCATAACGTTATAGTAAACCACTTAGTAAGGAGTTACTGTCATCTCGTAAATTAACATAATAATTATCGTAACTCAAAGTGGCTACAGAATAAATTATTCTATAGCCAGCTGTAGAGTAGTAGTTCTACGGTACGGCTATTCTGCAGCTGGCCACAGAATAACTTATTATATGGCCACCTTGATTTACGATAATGTTTGTATCAATTTACGATAATGACAATACACATTTACGATATATGGGTTACTATAATTTAAGATGATACTTACCATAATGTTATAGTAAATCACTTATGAGAGAGTTGTCATAATCTCGTAAATTAGTATAGTAATTATCGTAACTCAAAGTGGCCGCAGAATAAGTTATTCTGCGGCCAGCTACAAAACAGTACGTGTGTATATATATATATATATATATATATATATATATATATATGTTTGCTAGATTGCCTCGCTGTAGTAACGTGTAGAGTATGCACGTACGTTATCGTTTACCTATATTGGTCCCGTTCGGCTTACTCCATATTCAGCTTACCCCATATGTTTGCTAGATTAGATGGAGGGAATTGGATGGATATTGTATCCACCATGTTTCAGTGCATATCACCCCTGATCTGCTGCCGCGTGTCTAGTCTCATGGATCCAACAGCACTCATCAGCCTGCCTTTCGTGGGCCTACATGAGCCAAGTCAATCATGGATCGATCGGTGGACGGGGAAAATCAAGAGCTTTTGATTAGTTGGATTGGACACGTGGCAGCAGATCAGGGGCGGTATGCACTGGAGCACGGTGAGGACGCTGAACTGCTATAGTATTCGGTTCATTTGCGGTTGTAATCTTCAGCAGAGTTAGTTTTAGTTTTTTAGATAATAAAGAATATAAAATCCAGCCTATATATTGGCTTGGGATATACAAGTAACGCTCCTGTAAATATAACAACAACTTCACGTATGATTGCTGCTTTTAAAAACCTTAAGATGCTTCCGCAAAGACCGGCACCTCGCAAGTCTCCAAGTGACCAAAGCCCAGTTAGACTGTCTCCAACAGGTGACCCATAAGAGCATATAAATCTAAAATGGATCTCCGGCAGTACTATATCAGCCTCCAACAGGGTACCTATATAGAAAACTCATTTTGAGTGTCAGAAAAGGCACAATCTAAATCTAAGTATCATCTCTGCTAAAGACTCATTTACAGAAATGGTTCTCTTTTGAATCTTATTATTGGAGAAGACAAAAAAAATATGTATTTAGCGCTACCTAAATATGGAATGGGTCTTATATTTAGGGTGCTGTTGTTAGAGACAGTCTTAGGGAGTTTTGTTAAAGCACCCTGATCCTGCAGCACGCCGCTCCGTTGATGCTCCGTCCGGTTTCCACGCTACTCCCATCGGCGTATATATGAACATGAATATGGAATTTGCATAATATAAAAACTCAACTCCAATACCACCTCGCTGCAGTAGTGTGTACTGTACGTACCAACGTGCAGCTAAGGTTGCTTGCAGCTATATTATGTTTGCTAGACTAAAGGATGCTGAACTGCCATAGTGTTTGGTTCATTTGTAGTTGTAATCTTCGCCAGAGAGCTAGGGCGTGTTTGGTATAGCTCTGCTTCATTGCAGAGTAGTTTTTTTTGTTAGGGTTGGTAGATGTAACACCTAAAAATTTTACATCTTTTCAAAATAGCCGAAATTGATTTTATTATGTATTTATGTGAGCATGCAAATATAGGAAATTAATAATTTTTATGAAAATTAAAAGCAACTATAAGGATAGATACATGTTGTTGCATTCAATCTGGAGCATTGGGGTTTTTGTATTGATTGGTTTTGACCCAAATCTGGAAAAGGATTCAAAACCCATTTCAAAAATGGATTTGAACAGCTCTGAAAATAAAAGAAAAAGGAAATTCCTTTCACTTCTCCATCTATCCCCTCTTTTGACCCGAAGGCCCAGCTCGGCCTCCCCTCTCCCTTCCTTTTACGGCAAGCGCAACTAGCTGGCCGGCCCAGCAAGCCCGCGCGGGCACTCCTCTCTCTTGGCCCGCTGACGCCCCGGCCCCGCGCCTTCACTCGCTGACGCGGTGGCCCCGCCGGTCAGCGTCTCTCCCTTTCTCCTACCTTCCGTATGCGAGCCGGAATCGGCCGCGGGGAAGGAAACCGCCATCGCGCTCCCGATTTCCCGAGATTTGGCGTGCTCCCCACGCCTACACCCTATATAAAAGGAGCCCTACGTGCGCATCGCCCTCATCCCGAAACCCTAAGCGCAGCTGCCGCCTCGCCATAGCTCGCAGCGCCGCCGCAAAACCCTAGCCGCCGCCGCTATTGCTCACTTCGCCACCGAGCCGCTTCGCCGACGAATCAGAGCCCCTACCCAGCTTCGTAAGACGATAAGACCTCCGTTGGTGCTCCGCCATTGCTTCCCCTTGCTTTGTATCGCTCACGCGACTTCGCCGAACCATCCGGGCCGCCAAGGCAAGCTCCGCGCTGCCACCGTGCCGTTGTTGCCTTCATCGACCCTCTAACCGAGTTCTAAAGCTCACCCTTTACGATCCAGTGCCATCCCCGAGCCAAACCAAGGTCCCTAGGGCCTTTTTCCCTTCTCTCCGACGAGGTTGCGCCGTCGTCGGCCATGGTGCCGCCCTGTTCCGGCGGCAGTCCTTCCTTCTCTCTCCCTGATAAAATCCGAGCCATTCGGATCTGATCCATCGGCCCAAATCTCCCTATACCCCTTCGGCTGCCACTTTTTCAAAAGAGCCCCTGCGCTTTTCTATTTTTAAACCCGCCATCCCGAGCGTAATCTGGGAATACGTATTTCTTTTTAGAAAGCGTAAACATGCTCTGTTTAGATCTAAAGTACGTTTTCTCATTTTAAAAGCGTAATTTAGATCTGTTTATTTACAGTTTTGCCATCCAGAGCCCAATTTCATCATATCTTCTCCGTTTCACATCTGATTTGATCCGTTCAAGTTGCGTTAGGTTCGTAATTAAGTAATCTACAAGTTAATGCTATTTTTAATCAAGTTTTTTACTTTTAAAATTTGTGATTAGATTTAATATGTAAAAACTGCTATAGGAAATCTCGTTTAATGCATAACTTTCACATTTTAGATCCGATTTTCGTGATCCTCGCGTCTGTGTTTTCATAGCGAGATGTAGAATCTTTTTAAAAACCTTTTCATCTTGTTTTTTATTCTATTGGTGTACTATTCTAATCATAGGTTTGTTTGCTTTACATGAATTGCCTCTGGATGATTGTATGTTGCTACGTTGATCGAGTATAGACGGTGAGCAAGAGTACTTCGTTGACGATTCAAATCAGCAAGAGTTCGCTGAGCAAGGAAAGTATAGCATGGAACCTTCCTTGTTACCTACACACCTTATAATCATTATAATTCATGTTGCATGTGTCTAAAATTGTCACCCTAAAGATTTACCTAGCACTTTGTTATCTTGATACTTTGTCACCATGGGATCAAATGCATGTGGGTAGTTGTGCTAGTGCTCAAACTAACTATACATGATCTGAATGATGACTAATGGCTTTATGCAAAAAAGGTTAAAACTTGTTTTTTTAGCAACTTGAATATAGGGCGAGGGAGCTTCTGGCTTTTATACATGATGCTCTTGGCCCTCCCTAAGGCCTTATCTATGAGCAAAATCTGGGACTTGTAGTACAACCATGAGGGCTACATGGCTTTGGCTTTAGTTC